TTTTCTTTTTTTTTCTTTTTTCATATATAAATAAATATCACGTGAACGGAAGTTGTATTATTATTAATAATATTATTATACATAATTTATTTTTGTTAAATAAATTTTAAATAATAATTTAATAATTTTTAAATTGACAATAAAATTGGTCGTTAAGAAAAATTTTTTCCTTTTTAAAATTCATTTTTTAAGGTTCGTAATTTACATTAAATTAAATTTTTTACCTGTAAAATATAAAAGAAACAAATTTTCTTCTCTAAATAATATAATAATAATAATAATAATACTTCAAACGAGTTACGTTATTTTTTAAGTAAATCGTTTCATAAATTTGTTTAATTAAATTTTAAAAAAAAAATAATAATAATATTTACAGAAAAATTTTTTTAAATTTTATTTATTCGAATAGAAGAAAATTTATGAAATTGTCGTTAAATAGAAATTTTTTTTTGGGAAATCATTAATAATTAAAAATTGTGGAAAAAAAGAAAAGAAAAGTTTTCTTAATGGTTTTCTATTGTAATTTTTTATATTTAAAAAAAATTTATTTTTTGTCAAGGGCAAAATGCGAACGGCATTTTGATTATTTTTTTTTTTGATGAAAAATGAATCTATCGGTCATTAAGATGAAAAATAATGATTTTCTCTTTTTCTGTTTTTCTTTTAGGAAATAAAAAATTATTCGGTTTATTTGGAAAAATAAAATTTTCTTTTTTCTTAATCGTTTTGGCATTTTCTCTATTATTTTTTACCGATGTCGTACAAGCGACGTATAAAAAACCGCCATTTAACGGAAGCATTTTTGGAAAAAGAACTTCTGGAATGACAGGTTTAATATAAAATAATAATTATTAATTTTTTAAATTCGATTAAAATAAATTATTATTATTATTTTTTTTTTTTTCGTACTTACGCGTAGATTATGAAAATACAGGGAAAACTTTATCGTCATTATGTGAAGTTGCTGTCGAAGCTTGTTCTGCATGGTTTCCACAAATCGAATCTAAAAAATAAAAATTTTTATTATTATTATTATTTTCATTTTTTTTAAAGCTTTATTAATGTCGCTTATATTTTCATTAAAAATTTACTAGAAAAAAAAGCCGCTCCCCCCTCCCCCCACAAAAAAAAAAAGAAAGAAAAATTTTGATTAACGACGTTTGTCAATGTTTTTTTTTTCCCCCCCTCCTCCGAATATTTTCAACAAATAATTATTTACATTTTAAATAGATTTATTTTAATTAATTAATTAATTAATTAAAATAATTTTTTTTACGGATCATTAACCTTTTTTTTCGTAAAAAAAAAAAATTTAGCCCCTATCATAAAATCTTTTAAATACAGGATGTTCAATAAAAAAAAAAAAAAAAAAATTTTCCGACATTAAATTTTCTGGCATTTTCAGGCGTTTTTTTTTTTTTTAAATTAAAATTTATTTATTTATTTTTAATTTAATTTTTTTTGCAAAACATAAAAAAAATAATTATTATTTTAATTTAATAAAGTTGCTTTAAAAATAAATAAATAAATATTATTGTATAAGTGTAAAGCTATTTTAATTTATTTATTTATGTATTTAAATATATATGATTTCGATGTGAACAACAAAATTATAATTTTTTTTTAAAATTTAATAAATAATAATCAATAATTAAAAAAATTATTAATTGTTTAAAATTTTATTTAAATAATCACACTGTATTTAAATGCAAATAATAAATGTCGAATGTGAGAGAAATTATAAGGGTTTTCGCCCAGTTTTAAACGATTTATTTAATTTCGTGCACAATGTATATAAACAAATGTAATGATTAAATAATAATAATAATTAAAGAGAAGGATTCAACATCGGATATGGAAATATTTAATATTAATTCTTTGGCAGGTAAGAAAATAAGTTTTTTTTTTTTAAAAAGTTTGATATTGTGACATTAAAAAAAAATTTTATATAGTTTTGGCTTTGGTTGCGATTACTTATTGTAATGCAAAACCTCCAGCCTCTGAAGATATTGGTACAAATTTTTTTTTGAAAGCATCTAAAAGCGTTCCGAGAATTGGCAGAAGAACCGTCGATTATGAAAATTATTTCTTAAAGGTAATTATTAATTATTATTAAATAAAAAAAAATACGTTTATTTAACGGAAAATTGGTTTTAGGCATCTAAAAGCATACCGAGAATCGGTAGAAGAACAGAAAATTCTGTCAAAGATAATGATAATGGTTGGATGCCAAAAATTTATCAGGAACTTGTAAAAAAAAATTTTTATGATCAATATTTTAAAGGCACAGGTAAAAACGTATACAATTATTATTATTATTAAAAAGAAATTGTAATATATAGATATATATTTTTTTCTTACTTCTTTAAGAACGACCCGGATGGAGCGATTTAGAAAAAATAAATCAAGATATTCCAGGAGCTTTTCAACCAGATGAATCATATCCAGAATCTGGAACTATGCCTTCCTCAGAATCTTATTGGAAAAGAATAAAAAAAGGCGAACAATCGATTGAAGAACATTCAGATGTGTAATTGAATAAAAAAATGTTTTGATAAATTATTTAAGGTGTTGGGTGTTATTGGGGCATCAAGTACAGTTTCTATACTATTCTATCCCCAAAAATATATTTATTTTTTATTCATATTACACGTCTATAATTAATTCTTACCCTTTTTTTTCCTAGTTCCCAAAATAAAAAAAATTGATAAAAATATATATATGTATATATGAAAATTACCGTTATTTTTTTAAATTCAAATCTATAATGAAAGTGAATTATATTTATATACGATAACTAAGACTGCCTTAAAAAAAAAAACTTTTAGACTAGCATTTCTGAATTGGTTAAAATTTCTGCTTTGCTTCCATTTATCCAAACTGTATGTTCAAATTGAGCAGCTCTGGCATTGTCTGCAGTTACAGCAGTCCATCCATCTTCCAAAATTATAATTTCAATATCGCCTTGTGTAAGAACTGGTTCTATTGTAAAAGTCATACCTGTTTTCATTTTCCCAGGATATTCATTATCTGAAGATTGAGCATGCAAAATGTATTAAAAAAACAGAATAGGTAAAAAATTAGCATTTTAACATAAAACTTACAGCAATGATAAATATCAGGAGGACCATGAAAGTAATGACCTATTCCATGACCTGTAAAACTAGGTACAACATTGTAACCATATTTTCTAGCTGTTTCACTAATGACTTGACCGATTGAACAAAAATATTCACCATCGCAACAAATTGATATAGCATCATTAAGGCACTGCTTTGTAGCTTCCATCAAATGAATACCTTTTTCATCTACATTTCCCACTGCATAGGTTTCTGAACAGTCACCATGATGACCATCAACATAAACCTAAAATAAAGAAAACTTTTTTATAGGGAATACATAAAAAGTTAGTGTTTGAAAAATGAAAAATGAAAAAGAATACTTTACAGTCACATCAATATTTATTATATCTCCATCGCAAAGCGGTCTATCGTCAGGTATGCCATGACATACTACATTATTAACTGAAGTGCAAACTGATTTTGGAAATCCCCTATAATTTAATGGTGAGGGGTAAACATTATTGTCAATGCATAATTTGTGAACTATTTTATCTATTTCATCAGTAGTAAGTCCAACCTGTAAAAATTAGAGTTTAAAAAATACCTAAGAATAAAGAGAGAATAATTTTACCATCATGGTTTAAAATTACAGATAATAATACAATTAATTATAAAATTACTTTCAACATTTTTGAAGTTGTATCTAAAATATATTTTGCTAATGAACAACTTTTTTTCATTTTTCTAATTTGTTCAGAATTTTTTATCTCAGGTTCTTTTGGGATTTCATCGAGAAACGTTTCATAATTTTTAATATAGTTTGGAAGTAATATATTTTTTGGTACACTAAGTTCTTTTGTCACAAATCCTGGTGTGACAATATTGTACACCCCAAAATTTTTTCTAAAATTTAAAAAATTAATGTGTAATTAATTATTAGAAACTAAATTAAGGACACTTATTTAAAAAAAAAAAAAAAAAAAAAAAAAAAAAAAAAACTTACTTTTCTAGGGCATTATTTTTAGAACTATAAAAAAGTTTAGGAAATTTAAAATTATAATTTTCCATATAAAACCACTGATTTACAGTGGATTTTTTAAAATTATTTATAAATTTGAACATTTTACTGAAAAATTTATGTAATTGACAAAATTTTATAATTTTCCATAAAAAATTTCTATCCTGGGGGCCAATTCATTTGCCGACCACCCAAAACATGTAAATGTAAATGATAAACACTTTGACTTCCGTGAACACCGTTATTTATAACGACTCTAAAACCTTCTTTTAATTTTTCTGAGGCCAACGTTTTTGCTACAATAAGAAGTTTTCCCAAAATTTGCTCATCGGAGGCTTCTGCTTTTTCCAACATGGAAATTCTTCTTTTCGGTATTACTAAAAAATGTACGGGGGCCTGAGGGCTAACATCATTAAAAGCAAGACAATCGGAATCCTCGTAAATTATATCTGCCTTAATTTCTTTATTAATAATTTTATCAAATATCGTCGGCCCTCCAATATCGCGTGCTTTTTGAGCTTTTAAAACTTCATCATTTTCTTTTTGAAACCTATTGACTGCGCTGTGTATACTTCGCGTGTTTAAAAAACTACAAAGCGTAAAATTATTTTTAACAACTTTATTCAAATTTAATTTTAAAAAATAATTTAAATAATTTTGATTTACTTTGTATGAAAATTTTAACATTTTTTATATGGAAAAAAAAAAAGAATCAAGTCAAGACTGAGCTTTTCTGACTGTAACTTGTGCCAACTTAAAAAATTGAATTTTTTGTTTGTAAACAAAAGCTAAGTGAAAAAAGTTTGTGTAACAGCAACTATAAATTATTAGAAATTTTTTTTTTAATAAATGTATAAAAATATATTATTGTATTACTTAAAGTAAATTGATTTTTTAATTTTTTTAATACAGATGATAAATCTTATAATAAAAAAAAATTTACAACTTTACTATTTATAAAATATTTTATTTTACAATAAATGTTGTATTTTAAACTTAATTTTACTTTAAGTAATGTTTTCTTGTACAACAACAAAAAAATGATGCTGAGAATAAATATTATAATATTATAATATTTAATAAACAATTTTCTTATTTAAATAAATTAAATTTTTTGTCGTTTATGGATTATGCCAGTAAAATAAAGTAGACAAGTAAAGAAAAAAAATTTGGCACACTTTTACAATTAATTTTTTTTTTAGATATATTGGCATCTTAAAAATTTTTAATGTCATTTAGATTTTTTTAAATATTTAATTGTTTTTTATATATTAGTAATAATAAATTACATTAAAAAATTCATAAGCGATTTCTTTTAAAAATAAAAAATTTACAAAAAATAAAAAAAAAAAAATTATAAAAGTAAATGTATAAATAATAATAATTAAAATTTGATTAAAAATATTTTAAAATTAAGTAAGTTACTTAAAAATTACATAATCTACATATGAATACATAGATATAAAATACTCCATTAGTTTTATTTTATAATATTGTCTTTACATTTATTTTTATATATAAATATATAACTTATGATTGCATTATTTAAAATTAAAAACAAAAAAAATTTTAACAAAAAAAAATGTATAAAAGTCTGTACATCGAGACTTTTTTCCAGATTACAAAATTGAGCAGTCATATTATTTTATGAAAACAAATTGTATAAATAAATATTTTAAGTATTGATTACCAGATTATAAATTATTACCGATTACACTACATTAAAATTTTTTATTATCAAATATTTCTTAAAAATAAAAAAAAAAAATTTTTAAACAATGATTTTCATTATAACAATAAGTAATAACATTTTAAACAAATTTTTTTAATAACAAATTAATGCATTGTCAACAATAATTAAAATTTTAAAAAGTTTTATCAGCTTTTTTAAATATTTAATCTTTTAAGACACTAGTTTAAAAAGATGATTCGAGAATAATGATGCTTTTTTGTAATATAAACTGATTTTCGAATAAATTTTTCACAGCATTTTTCTAATTAAGGTAATAATTTAAGAGAATTTAACAGAATTTAATGCACTTGCTAATTCTTCTTCATTCCTAACTGATGGATACAAACCACTAGGACCTTCATTTCTGACAGGAGTCGTATCAGATGTCTCACCTGGGCTTGAATAATATGGATTGTATGGGGAATTTGAATAATAAGGATTCGGTGAATAAGGGGGTGGTGGATCTGTATTTCTTTGTTGAGATGAAGGAGGATTAACAATTCTATAATCCTTGACCAATGTTCTAGCTCTTTGCAAAATATCTTTCGCACCTGACAAACCATCAAATTTTATTTCATGAATTTCCTAAAATTAGAATTTTTATGTTAAGAAATTTAAGGATTAAGTAAATAAATACCATGATTAAGGTATAGTACATTACCTTGTCTTCAACATCAGGCAAGCATTTAACAATATCTGCTTGAGCTTCAAATATATAAGCACATTTTTGAGAAAGAGCCAAGTATGCCTGAGATAATTTAATAAGTCCTTCTTTAACTACAATTAATTTAACTGCTTCATTTTCTTTAACTTTTTCAGAAACTATAAAATTAGAAATATAAAAAAAAAAATTTTTAATAAATAAATACATAACTATCCAAATCATGTATGAATTGAAAAATAAAAGAAGAAAATTTTTATACATATATTTAAAGATGTTAATAATGATAAGGTATTTAGTAAAATTATTACATTAAAATATTTTATTTTCATCAGTAAAGAAAAGATAAAAAATTACAACAAATAAAATATAAATGAATACTATTATAAACGATTTTAGTATTATTACTATAATTTGTTAAATAAATTTACCTTCCACTTGCATTAAATCTTTTTGTCTTTCACATTCTGCAATTTTGGCTTCAGCAGCTCTTATTTCTTCAGATGAATTTTTTTTTTGGGCTTTTTTTAACTTTTTTCTCGCTTTTTGCTCTAATGCCTCACAATTAGCAAATTTGTTTCTAGCAGCATCTAAATTACGTTCTCCCTCCAAAATAGTTTCAAATTGATGTTTAAAATCTGAGATTTGATCTATTAAAGTATAATGTCTAATGATTAATATATATAAATTAAGTAATTGAATAAATTATTTTGTAAAAAAAAAAAATTACCAGCAAAACTACTTTGAACCTCGCTCCACAGTGCATTTAAATCGGATAAATGAAGAAATAATTCCTGCAAAGCTCTATTTTCATCGACACATGTCCAATTTGTTATGTCATGAAATATTGTTTGTTGTGAATCCCTTACTGCTTTCAATTGTGACTTGAGAATTTTTAAATCAGATATTATTAGATTGAGTTCTTGATAACCTGTGCCAAATGACAATAAAAAAGCACCACTCCTAAAAATAAAAACAATCAACTTTTTACAGTAATATAATATATTAACAATTACTAAAGATGAATGCCGTTATCATACTAATTTAAATTTTGAAAAATTAATAAGAACAATAAATGATATCAGTTACTTTATCACAATGAAAAATTAAAAGAAATGTAAACAATATCAAATACCTTCTAAGAGTACTAGTAGCTTTTTCCATGATTTATTGAAATAAAAAATGATAAAATAAAATCTGCTAAATATTTTCTAGACTCCAGTTTACACGGTAAAAAAAACTAAATAAAAATAATTAAAAGTGACTTTTTTTTTTTTAACAATTACAGTTTTTTATTTTCCCCCATAATAATAACTCTCACTGTTACCAGTTAGATCAAGGTTTTTCCTACCAACAGAAAAACAAAAATTTTCAATTGAAATAAAAAAAAAAATTTTCGATTTTACGAAATTATTTCATCAATTTCAAATGCGTAATAATTAAAAATTACTAAAGGATTCTCTTTGTTAAAAAAAAAAAATTAATTTTTAAATTAATTAATTAACAATGAAGTCATCAAAATTAATTTTGGCGCCAATTACAAATTTATTTAAGGGTATTGTATTATTGATTTTTAAACAATTACTATAAATTAATTGTCATAAAAAAATATTTATTTAAAAAAAATTTAAATAAAATTTTACTTTCATAATGAATTTCTTAATTATATTAAATATTATTTTAAATTTTTTTTTTTTGTCAACTATAATTTAATCAGCTTTTAATTGTGTTATAAGCTTTTGTTGACTTGATATTTTATTTTCAAAAATTAAATTTAAAAGTGAAATTAAGAAAATTTTGAAAATTAGTGACAAATATTTATTTGTAAAAAAAAAAACTAATTAAAAAAAAAAAAAAAATAGGAAAATGTCAGTCATTTCAAAAAATAATGATAAAAAATTTAACTGTTGGCGAAACTGAAGAATACGTTGATTCTCATCTTTACGATAGGCGTCATGCATTTCAATTTAAGTAAAGTTTGTGTCTTTCCGTAATAAATTTTCCTCTTGTTTAATAGTTTTATATAAATTAATTGTAGTCGTTATCGTAAGTAAGTTATTGTGCAGAACTTTTTAATTATATTTTTAAATCAAGGATTGAGTTTTTTGTTTAGTACTTTTGACTAGTGGCTAAACTAAAGCACAGTCATCTAAGAATTATAAAATGGCGGACATTTCTATCATTTACAGAGTGTGGTATTCTGCGACTAAACGCTGAAAAAAAAAGTAATTTTTTAAAAGGTAAATTTTTACTTTAAAAAAACATTTATACGTTTAAGTATATATAGTAGGTAAAGAATTGCAGTGTTAAGTGTTACTTAAAATTTCTAATGAACAATGGAAAAAGGATATTCAGGCAGATACTTCTATTCATCAAATGTTCGTTTTTACTATATTTAAATAAAATTGAACATTGCTAAAACACAATTTAAATGACGTCTTCAGAATTCATCAATATTACTAACTAATTCTTTTAATTAAAAATATAACACGAGTTTTACCCCTAATCTAGTGCTATTGCTATTGTACTTTTTTCCATAGAAATGTGCTCGTTAATTGCTCCCTTTTTTTTTTCTTTTTTTTCTTTTTATACTGAATCTTTAAGTTACAGTTTATAATTGAATTTAAACAAATATAAAAATTAAAAATAATACCTTAGAAATTATTTACATATCGTTTATTGAATAGTATTTGCGCAGAAATTATTTTACCTAGTCTTTAATTGTATAATAATAATGTTGGAAAAAGATAATTACTTAAAACGCATTTTTCCTGTGCATTGTTTTCAAAAAATAAATTTTTATAAAATATGTATAGATTTATTGTTTAAAGTTGAAATATTCATTTTTACCTGATAAATATTTTAATAAAAAGAGGTTAATGTATTACTTATTAAGGTCAAAATACAGTTTAAATTTTTATGTATATACTTTTTTTATTGTTTATAAAAAATATTTTTAACTAGGTATACACATTAAAAAACTTTTTTATTTTTAAAATTCTTATTTTATTGCAAAATAAATGCATTATGAAATTTTTTTTAGAATGGTTTTTTACATATATCTAGGTAACAATTTGTATAATTTTATAATGGTAGATTGTATAATGACTTTGTACAAATTTTTCAAATACTTTTCGATAAAAAAAATTTCATTAGGATTTCATTTGTTTTAGATATCACTATGATTTTGCACTTTACTAAAAGAAAATGAAAATTGATATAACCAAGATCAAGAAGGGTACTTCTGAAGTGGTGAGTTTTTTTTTTTTGAAAAATTTTTAAAGTCTTTGTCTTTAGTTTTTTACCATGTAAAAAAATAAATAGAATATCAAATCCACAAATGGCTTCACGATATTTTCATTGTTAATAAAAACTTAATAAGATTTTTTAAAATTTACTTCTCTTTATTTACTTTAACAATCATTTTAAAATCGAGAAAAACATTTTTTAATGCATTCTTTGTGTAAACTTTAGCCTCCTGAATGCCAAGCTATAATACAAAAATTAAAAGCATGTTACCAAGATAACAACAATGAAAATTTACTGCAAGAGCTGCAGCAAACATCATCCTGGACTTCTGGAAAATGCGAATTATTTCATTGGGTGGATGTTCTTAATATATTTGATGACATCCTTGAACATGGCGCACGACGTGTTACTCCAGGTCTATGGAGTTTGGCAGCTGATACTTACAACAAAAAAGTAAATTTGTGTATTTTTTTTGGTAGTCATTATTTTGACGAAGAAAATTATAATGTGTATATGTAAAACATATTGTTTAATTTTTTAGTCAAGAGATCTTCTTTTGGAAGTACTCAGGTTTACTACATTATTGATTGAAAATTCATTTAGTCGGCATTTATATAATTCAATGGAACATTTATTAGTTTTAATGGGGTCAAGCAATTTGGAAATTTTAAATGGAGTTCTTAGTTTGCTTTACATGTTTAGTAAAAGAAGTAATTTCATTCCCAGATTGCAGCAAGACTCCAAATCAGCATTATTAAAATATCTTATGTATTTAGCTGAAGTAAGATAAAAAATTTTTTTGTTTGAATTTATTTTTGCTTACTGTAAATTTGCTTAATTATTTTTTTTTTTTATTTCAGAGTTGGGGAGGTTGGGAAAATGGTTTCGGCTTGGCTTCCTGTTGCCAGGAAGTTTTAAAGCCTGTAAGTATTAATAACTGTTTTTTAAATCGATCCATATTAGAAATTATTGGAAACAAATATTTTAATTTTATTTTTGTATTAATATAGGAACTACGGGAATCTGCTACAACTTTACATTTTGAATACTATGATGACACTCCAAACCATAAAAATAAAGTAACGACTATACATATTGAAAATATAGATAAAATAGATAAGAGTTTATCCAGTATTATGGATGAATTAATAGAAACTTACGACGTTATAGAAAGTCAAAGAGTAAGGAATGAAATAGTTTTTTTTTTTTTTTAAAACGTGTTATTAATTTTAAATCAAAATTTAAAGTAAAATAATAAAAATTTTTTTAGATGGTGCTTTTTACTCAACTTAGATTGGCTCATGGTTTTTCTGATTATAAAAGAAGGTTGTTATGTGTTCAAGCTAGATTACAAGCAATATCGGTTTTAGTATATTCTAATGGGCTTCAAGATAACACCCATCAAGCTGTTATTTATAATGGCCTATTAGAAGAATTAGTGGAATTATTAGAATTATCTGCTCCTGAATTGGTAGATATAAGAGCTGCCGCTCTTTTAACTTTAACGTCCGTCATACATTTGGATCGAAATCCTCATTTCCCTAAGTAAGTTTTAACTCATTTCAATTTACATATTTACTGGTTCTTACTTTTATTTTTTAAAATAAATATTTCTTTTTCGAAATAGAAAACCTGGATCACGACTTTTAACAATCATTGACGTTACTGGTGCTTCAAATTATCATGGACAACTTCCGTCCATGGTGAGAACTTGTATTGCATCTTTAACAGGATCTCAGCCTCATGAGCAAGCCAGGGCTTACGGAGCATCGTTGCAGTCTTTTCCCTTACCTTTGGCTACAGCTTTGTTTAGTTTTCTATATCATTTAGCAAGTTACGAAGCAGGAGGTGAAGCTTTGGTTTCTTGTGGAATGATGGAAAGCTTACTTAAAGTTATAAACTGGCCTGGTGAAGATTTGGATCAAATTACGGTAAGTACAATAAAATTTATTTTATTAAAATTGAAATTTAGCTAAAGTAAGAAATTTAATATAAATTAGTAAAGAAGTAAATTTACTTGTTAAATTTCCACTTGGATTTAATTTGAGTAGCAACTCATTAAAAAAAAAATTTTTTCAGTTTGTAACCAGAGCGGTTAGAGTAATTGATTTGATTGCAAATATCGACATGAGCGCATTTCAAGCTCACCAAGGTTTAGTTAGCTTTATTAACAGATTGGAATTAGAAGTAAATATATGTCGGAAAGAACAGCCTTTTGAAATTAAAATTCCTGGGACAAATGAATCCGTACCTGATGATATAGAAACATCAGGTTCTTCGGTTTCTTCTATTCAAAATAATACGGAGGAGTGGAAAAATTCGGAAGAAAATGCTTCTTCTAGGCCGTTGGATTCTAATAAAAGTCTTGCAGCTGAAGAGTCATTAAGTTCTGACGAAAACGGGGAAGAAACTCGTTGGGATCAATCCGAGTTACTGACTCCTATTTCTAGTCAGAAATCAAGATCGACCACTGAACCTGAATCATTAAATCAACCTTTAGTAACTGATTCTCAAACTGCTGAACAAGATGTAAATAAATTTTTAATTTTAAATAATATTAAATTTACAAAAGTTTAAATATTTTTTAAATAATTTTTTTTTTTTTTTTTTTTAGATTCCTATGCAAGAAAGTCAAGAAAAAAATGACAATTGGGTTCCTAAAATAATTAAAATATTTTCGAATACTAATCAAGGATCGGAATCAGCAATGGAAGTCGACGAAGAAACAGTTGCAAGTAAGAAAATTTTTGGAAAAAAAGTATTTACTGAAGGTATTTTTTTTGTGTTTATATTAGTACATTACAATTATTTTTAAAAAAATTTTCTTTAGAAGACGGTCCCAGTACAGAAAACATAACAAATAACACCATTGTAATTGAACCTCAACCTGGCACATCAAAATCAGTTCAACAGTATTCAAGTGAATTTTTTGAACGCACTTCTAAAGTCAAAGAGTCTGTTGATTATAGTGGTAATCGTTGGCAAGACGCTAAAACTGGGAAATCTTGCTTGCCACAAAGAGCTGGTTTAATTAAATCAATTTTGAATTTTCTAAAAAAAGCTATACAAGATCAGGCATTGAGCGAATCTATGAGAACAGTCATGGAGGGAAGTTTACCTTCATCTTTAAAACATGTTATTAGTAATTCCGATTACTACGGTCCTAATTTATTTTTGTTGGCCACTGATGTTGTTACTGTATACATATTTCAAGAGCCATCTCTCCTGTCTACATTGCAGGATAATTATTTAACAGACGTTGTTCTTCAAGCTATGCTAGTCAAAGAAGTAAATGCAATTTATATGTTTTTAAAAATTTCTAAAAACAAAAGTAGAGTTTTTTCGTTTGAATAATATGTAATCATATTTTTTTTTTTTTTAGGTTCCAGCTACGAGAGAAGTATTAGCATCATTACCTAATGTTATTAGTGCTCTTTGCCTAAATTCTCGAGGTTTAGCTCAATTTAAACAATTTCACTCATTTGACCACCTTTGTGAAATTTTCGTTCATCCCTTATATTTGCCTGCTATGAGAAGGAGAAGAAGTAATGATCCATTGGGAGACACAGCTACAACTCTAGGAAATGCTATGGATGAACTGATGCGTCATCATCCGGATTTAAAAACTGAAGCAATGAAAGCAGTAATAAATGTTAGTTTAAATTAATTTTTTGGTTCACTTCAAATGTGATGTATTTAAAAAAGTTTATTTTTAATTTAGGAAAATCTTAAAGCAATTTAAATTATAAAATAATTAATTCCTTTAATTAGTAATAATTAACAGTTTAGAAAATAATAATGTTTTGTAATGATTACAGTTACTTGATGAGATATATGTTTATGGTACAAGTCCGCAATATACTTGCGAAAGTTACACCAGTAAAAAAACATCAACAAGTCCCGACCCACCTGTGACTAACAACACCGACGGAGGAGCTTCAAGCGACGAGGAAGAAGATGAAGATAAAGAAGCACCTGCTACATCTTATTATGTCCGAGTGGGTGCCACTCAGGGCAAACCACACATACCTATTCCTTTAATAGATTACATTCATAATGTAATGAAATTCGTTGGAGCTATTTTAAGTAATAATTCTACTGAGGATCATTGCAAGGAGTTTGTCGCTTTAGGAGGATTAAAATACGTAGTAAAATTGTTGTCTATGCCAAATTTACCTGCTGATTATGCTGTTACTCCAGCAGCACAAGCTGTGGCAAATGTTTGTAAATCAATTCTTAGCTTAGCACGAGAACCTAAAGTTTTGGAAGAAGGCCTTAAAGAACTTCAACAAGTCTTAACACGTTTAGAACCCTTAACAGATCATTCCTCGGGAAAATGTGTTTTACTTCATGAGTTGGCAATGGTGCCCGATTTAGATAATGCCTTGTATTCATATTCAGCTACTCCTTTGCTACATTCAATGGCAGCCACGCATGGTTTTGTCATTATGTTTGTGCACGTATGCCGTACAGGGCAATCAGAAATGAGAAACACATCAATATTTACTTGGGGATCCGCTCTGGGACTTGACATTCTACAAAAGTTGTCTAAATTGTATACTTCATTGGTTTGGGAAAGTACATTATTGTTGGCACTTTGCAGTGACGACGTAATACCATCGGATTGCGACTTTGGACAACAAGATTTGAATTTACTTTTGCCACAAAAAGAAGGCAGGTTAATTCGTACCACAACGGAAGCTATGAACACTATGAAGGTTGAATCTCCTTCTTCTGATAATAATACAGAAGGAGCTATATTTCCTATTTCATCGAAAACAAAATCCACTCGCATAGCGCCTACACCCGAACAATTGAAGCATTTAAAATTATTGTTGGGTGCTGCTTCGAGATTAGGAAGAGCATTGGCAGAACTCTTTGGGCTTCTTGTTAAATTATGTGTAGGCTCTCCTAAAAGAAGAGTGACTTTTCAATCAGCTTTCTACTGTCCAGCTGTGGGAGCTACTGATGTCGCCAAAGCTATGTCTAATTTATTGGCAAGAGGATTAAATTGGAATTTAGTTCCTCCAGCTCCTCTAGAAAAATTCAAATTGACTTATTTAATATGTTCTGTTGGTTTTACTTCTCCAATGTTGTTTGACGATAAAAAGCAGCCCTATCATATGATACTGCATTATTTTGTAGAAGGGGAAAACGAGGGAAATCCCTCCGGTCTGATGGCATTCTTTGATTCTATGTATCACGCACTTGCCGGCGATGGTTCTGCAGAAGGTGACAAAGAAACTGGCAAAAAAGAATTCCCAGAAGGAACAGGCGAATTTTTAGATGCGTGGTTAATGTTGTTAGAAAAAATGACAAATCCAAAAATGATATTAGATTCTCCTAATGTTTTTGTTCAAGAGCACAAAGTTGAAAACACTCCCGTGTTGGAGTTTTGTCCTTACCGATATTTAGTAAAAATTCATAGAATGGCATTTAGTGCCGTAATGGAAATGTGGTGCAGAAAACCTTTAAAAGGTTACGGTTTCAGAATGACAGACAGCATGTTGCGCATTTTGAAGCATATTTTGGTCGGTGAAAAGATTTTACAAGAGCGTTTAGAAGAAGCATCTGCCAAGCAAATAAGTTTGACTACATACGGAGACCACATCAGAGGAAACACTAACTACACCAATAGATTTACGGGTTCTCCTTTAGAAGGAAGCATTTCTTTTCGCGGCTTTGCAAGCAGCACACCAAATTCTCATTCCCAAGTAAATGAAACTTTAATTTCGCAGCTTTGCGACATGGGATTTTTGAGAGATGCTGCCATTGAAGCATTATCACAATCGCGTAGTATTGAAATGGCTATTGGATATTTAGTTGAAAACAATAGATCATCATATCAAGATGGCTTGGATGATTTAATAGACATTGAGCAGAATTTGTCAGAAGTTTTAGGTTCAACTTCAAGAGAAACATCAAATTCTAATTTGCCGCGAAATAATGCAGCTGCAAGTGGTAGTTCTTCCACTAGCCAAACTCAACCATCACATTCTGAATCTGGAAAAACAAGGAAAAAATGGAGATGTGAAATGCCACTTGCGGAACGCGAGGCAGAGACTATGAACGATATTAAGAAGTATCAACTGTCAAAAGAAACAATGAGTAAATTTACTGAAAATGCATTAGCTCAGTGTCTTGAAGTTTTAGAAAATCTTCCGGAAACTGTGTACAGAGTTTCAGATTTACTTATGGTCATTAGTGATAGAAATGGATTTTCGTGGTGTGAAAATATGTTGGAAGCTTTGTGCAAAGACATTTCCGTTCAAGTAATAGGAATGCTTAAAGAAATCAAAACTGGACCCATTACATTAGGAAAAGTTCACAAAACTTTATTAGATTCATTAGCATCTAGAAAAATTTCTGTCCGGCTTCATTTACTAACTCTTCTTTTTGACGATCTACGATTTGCTTGTGTTAGAGCATTATCACATACTTGTCTCATTTGTTTTTTAATTCAATTATTAGAAATTCACGTCAAGTACGTAGATGTGCAAACGCCTTTAGGCTGTACAAAATGTTTAGTAACACCAAAATGGTTGGCTCCCCTTTTACTCTTGCTCGACTTGTACGAAAAGACTGCTGTATACACTCAAAGAATGCATGAAATGCACAAAGCTTGTACCGGAATATGGAAATGGTTTCAGTTAAAAACTGGAAAATGGACACACTACACATCTCAAACAAACAAATTAATTAACTTGGCTTATTGGAGTGGCGCACCAGGATGTCGCGTTACCGTTGGAGAAACTAGAAGAAAATACCACATTAATTTTAATACACTTTTACAAATTAATGAAGATACAAATAGAGGTTTGCCGATTACGATGATTTTAAAACAGCCTGACCAAGATGGTTTGGCTGCAGAAATGACGGGTAACGAATGTGACAAAGAAAAAAGTAAAGAGTATGAATCAATTTATAACCAAGCTCACAATAGATCTCAACATCCGATTCCTTCGATTAACGAATCCGATAGATACGTTCTTATTCAAGCTTGTGTTAAATTAATTCAAATCCCTGTAGATCCAGATGCGCTTCACGCATTAATGAGACTCACGCTACGACTTACCAGAGATTATTCTTTAGCTAAATTTTTCGCTGAAAAGGGAGGAGTTACGGCTTTGCTTGATTTAGAGCAAGATTCAAACTTCACCGGATTCAGCAGTTTAGCAACTCTGATACTTCGACATGTAATGGAGGATCCGACGACTTTAAGAAACGCTATAGAAAGATCTATTCGATCTAGAATTAATAGTGAAATTCAACCATCGTTTTTTAGAGAACTCTTATTCATCATGAGGCATTTGGAGGCTGCCATATGCAGAAACCCAGAACTTTTTTTTGAAATCGCTCAAAAAGTTCTTCAAATAGAGTACTGTGATAGTTTTGAAGGGCGTTACATATTAAAATATGTTCGAAAAACGGACAGAGCAGCCAATGAAGACACTTCCATTGACAAAACTGCCATTGGCCTCGTTCGTGCTTTATTAGATCAATTGGTTGTACCTGATGAATATCTATTGAAATCTTATTCGGAAGGTGGCACAACTGAAAATAACAAACCTTCAAAAGAAACAGTACAAAGTCATACGCAAAACAAACTTTTCACATCTCAACTGGATACGTTTTCAACCGTTTTTGGAAATAAAAAACCGGTAGAAAATGTTGACAAAGAAAAGAAAGAATTCAACGAAGAGAAAAAATCAAAGAAATTACTTTCGAAATCGGTTATTTTATCCGTGTTAACCGATGCTGTAAAATCTTATCCCGGATTTTCTAAACTTATCATGGATCACGTTTACGAAGCCGATGCTGACAATCCTGTTTTAACAGAAGACATGACCGCAATAAGATTTATATTAGAAAAATTTGTATTACTCCCTGGAGTTGACAAAGAATCTTTGGAAATATCTGCTGAAGCTCGATTACTTCTCGGAGCCGTGGGTGCTTGCAATTATTCTATTGCTATTCAATCTGCTTTAGTTATAGAAGTCAAAAACTGTATTCAACGGATAGTCAATGCTCATTATGATGATACAAAAAAGAAATATACGGATGTTTCATGCATTCTCAGTCTGATTTCTGACATGATGGCCATGTGTCCGCCCGTTAGCTGGTTGTCTTTTGTAAATAATTCGTTTGTCAAAATGAAAAACAATGTGTCTTATTTATCAAATATCTCGAAACTATTTACAAGGAAGGGTTTAATAAATGAGTTGGCTAGATTGCCACACAACTTAGATTTGTCAAATCCTAATTTTGTTTTGGCCATGAACGCTGCGTTGAAACCGTTGGAAACTCTAACTAAATTAGCCAACGATCGGGGCAATCGCTCGCATAGCATGGAAACTTTTAAATTCGGAAGTAGAGGAAATACATCGAGTAGACCCGTCCAAGAAGCAGATCCAACGTTGACTAATAGCTCGGAAACCACTTCCGGGAATACAAATGCACAAGGAGAAGAAACAAATGAAGATGCTGAAAATACCGAAAATGATTTATCCGCCGCTGCGGAAAGCTTGGAACCGGTTTCCGATAGTCAAGTCAACGATGACATAACCGATATAGGAGAAATCGTTTTAGAAGACCAAAATATCGACAGGTATTCTAATTGCATAAATTTTATAATTTTTTTAATTACACTGTGATATTTGTATTTTAGCATATAATTTCTATAGAATGCTAATTTTTTTCCATTAATTTTTGATTTTAGAGACACCGATAGAAACAATTCAATGCACATGGATGAAATTGTTATTTCTCAAGACAGAGAAACTGTTGAGGTAAAAAAAAAAAAACTTTCCTTCTTTTTTTTTTTTTATCTAAATTTAAAACATTTTTTAAATTGTATAGGTAATTAAAAACTTGTTTACTTTTCTTCCAGAATGATGATTTGTCGAATCCGATGACTTTACAAACGGCATTAATGCAAATGACATCGGAAGTAAGTGATTAAAACACAATCATTAACGTTAATTATAACTAAATTATTATTATTATTATTGTTTTAACAAAAAGTTATGCAAAGATTAAATATTAAATTTTTGTTTGAAATAGATGGTGCATGGTCTGATGACCGAACTTCAACCTTCCAATCAGGAACAGTTAACCGATCCTGACGATCCGGATAATTTGGAAGAAGATCAATACGGAGATGAGCAAATGGAAGAGGATAATAATGAAGTTGATGAAGGTGGTTACAATAACGAAAACGACGATCCAGACGATGACTTTTTAATGGACACAACCATTTTTAGTCGAGCTGAGCATATAATGAACGATTTGTTTTTCGTTCAATACCCAAGTAATGAAAACGAAACTTTGGGATCCTTTAACGAGTTATACAATGATGATTCTTCTCTCAGGCCAGAGGAACCAGGTACGCTACGTTTTGAAATCGATTTTTGACGGTTTTTTGAAATTTTTATCAATTGTACTTTTTCATAAAAAAATTTGAAATTTTTTTTTTTTTACCAGTACTTCAAAATCCGCCTCCGATATATCATCCGCTTTTGGTTCGACGAAATAGAGAAGATACGGTTCCATTAAGAAATCTTCGAAATCGTCCTCGTAGATTTAGATTCTTTCAATTAAATCCCAGAAGCACGTCAACGAATAGACCGGATATTTTGCAAAAGTATGTCTTTAATAAATATAAAGTTTTTTCGGTTAAAAAAAAAAAAAAATAATAATAATAAACAAACTTATTTTAAATTTTGCAGCTTGCTGTTTTCCCGAAGACGTTATCGTGCATCTGATTTTAGACCGGGAGGAGATCAAGACACTCATAATTCCGGTAATCATCATTTTCGAAACAGTAATTTGGTATTCATGGAAAATGGTTTTGGAATGCTTACTCGTCCAGACGAAGGAAACATTGATTTTTTGGTATTCAAAATTATTATTTTTTTTTTTTTTTAAAGTTAATTGCGAGTCATTGAAAATATTACATAAAAATAATTTTTCCCCTTTAGGATCAATCGATGGAGTCTTTCGGTCAACATTTCACGGCAAGCACTCAAAGTGTTTGTTACGTTCGATGGGCGAGCGAAATGAAAATTTTAGATGCTGATTCTGCTGCAATGGCAGCAACCGTCTTAAGTTACCGTTTAAGAGGATCTTTAGAAATGCATAAAGACGAAGGAAAAGTTAAACAAAGTATGAAAAGTTTTATAGAGAGATTTAAATTATTATTATTATTATATTATACCGTTTTTTTTTTATTTACCGTTTAATCTAATTAAATTATTTGTCTTAGATTCACCTGCCATGGATGTAAGTTCTCCACCCAACAGCACGGAAACTAAAAACGTGGAAATGGCTGATGTTTCTCAGCAAATTAATCTTAACGACTCTTTGCAAACAACATACGCTAATCAAACGCCAGGTTTGTTTTTAATTATTATTATTATTAAAAGCAAATTTTCTCATGAATTTATTAAGTTTTTTATTATTATTATTTTTTAATTTATTTTAGTGGAAAATGTAGAATCCAACAGAACTGAGGATATATTACCGGTACAAGAAAGTACGCGTCTTCTTCAAGAATCAACTTCACCTTCCGAGGATAGGACAGTTACCGATTCAAATGTTATCGAATCGGATCAAGTCGCTGAATCCGGTGGAGAATCTAACCTTCAAGATGCATTTACTTCTTACTTCATGTTTGAAGATGACGAAAGAGTTGAACCTGGTTTGTGGAAATGAATTGTTTATGATTTAACGTTGTACTATTTTAAAGTAAATCAATGAACAAATTTTATAAAAATTTTTTTTTAGCTTTTCCTATTTATGGCACGAATGAGGAAATGGCAGATGAAGCAACTAGAAACAACTTTGATTTGAATTCGGCTTCCCAGGTTCGTAAATCGTAAAACCTTTATTATTTCGATGAAAGCTTTTTTTTTTTTTTATTTATAAAGATGTACTAAAAGTATTTTTGGTGATTTAGGAAACTGAAAATGAATTACCATTTTTGGAATGGGACAGCCAGGCTCCAACCGATGAAGGTTTACCGTTAAGACGCATACCAGGTTCGGTCAGCATTGCGCCTTCTATTGTACCTCCTCCTGCTGTATATCCTTTACGTGAGTAAAATACATCTCGTTAAAATTAACTAAAATCATTTAAAATATTAAAACTAAAAAAAAAAATTTTTTTTTTAGTGTCTTCTTCATTACCTCTGCCAGAGGTTGATCATTCTTTAGAAATATCATCAAATGCAAATCAGGAGGAAGAACAAGGGAACAATACGTTGGCTTCAACTTCAAACGATCAGTTTGAAACGAATGCACCTAATAATACTGAAAATGTTAATTGTAATAATTCTCAATCAGTCGCAGAAAATCAAAATGAAATAAATAACAGTGAAAGTACTGATCGTACGAATCAGTTATTCCCGGTAATTATTATTATTATTTTTCTTTTTTTTTTTTGTTAAAATTATTTATATATTCATTTTTTTCTAAAATTGCCTGTGCCTGTGTTTGAAACGACATTTTTTTTTAAGTAAAAATAAATTTTGTTTTGTTTGTCAACAGGATTTTCTTCCATCTATTTTCGGACAGAATTCTGAGGTTCCAGATCAATCGGCTTCATCATCTCAAGCATTTCCTCCTTCTAGCGAAGGAATACAAAATGCAACGCCAACAATAATTGAGGAAAATGAATCTGCAGATGGAAATGCTACGACATCCAATGCAGAAAATTCTAACAATGAGGTAAAATTTTTTATTTTATTTTATTTTGTGAATAATAAAGCTTTGAACTTAAAATTATATTTAAAAAAAAATTTTTCTTTCAAGAATGCATCACCGGTGCCGCTCGATCCTGAGGAAATGATACAATTATATCCGAATGGAAGGGCTACCTATCGTGGAATATCTATTCCTGCGGGGTTGGATCCTTCTTTTTTGGCTGCTTTGCCGTCGGAAATGAGAGAAGAAGTTTTTTCAAATCATTTACGACAACAAAGCATTCAAAGATCAGGTACATTAAACTTTGTTTCGAGTCCGAAATGATTGTTTAAAGTTTAAGAATTATTGCTTAGTAATATTGATAATTTTTTTTTGTTTCAATCTTTAGTGGATTTATTAAGAGATTCAAACACTCCACTCTCCAATACCGATGAAGTAAACCCAGAATTTTTGGCAGCATTGCCTTTAAATATTCAGGAAGAGGTGTTAGCTCAACAACGGCAAGAAAGACAAAGACAGGTTGCAGCATCCACCAATCACAATGATCCGTTTGATGCTGCAGCTTTCTTTCAAAATCTTCCTCTCTCTCTCAGGCAATCGGTATGACATTAAAAAAAAGTTTTTGAAGACTTTTTGTACTCTATTAGTCTATTTTCTATAGACTTCTAATTCTATTCTATTTTTTATTGTTCCAGATATTAGCCGATATAGAAGAATCTCAAATATCGGTTTTGCCACCGGATTTAGCTGCAGAAGCACACAATTTGAGAAGAGAGCACGATGCACGTAACCGACAATACTTTCAAGAACGTGAACGTATTTTAAGCCATAATACCCTTTCTTCTATATTAAGAGGTACAGGACCTCGTGGTACAAGAGTAGCCATTCATGGAGTTCCTTCGATTAGAAGTCAGTGGGGTATATCGTCTATAAGCAGAGGAAGCGAAAGTGGTGGTATCGACCCTCCTTTTGAGTATGTATTTTTATATTTCTTATTTTTTTTTTATGGGTAACAAAATTTATTGATTGTTTTATTTTTTATTTAGATCGATAGGGCGTCAATTGTTGGATCAAGAAGCTGTGAGCACGTTGCTCCTTTTGCTGTTTGTTCAAGATTTTCGCCTTAATATTGGTCGATTACACCGTGTTATTAGAAATTTATGTTGTCATCCTCCAACAAGGGATTTTGTCAGTAGGGTAAGAGTTTATTTTGTAGAATTTAAATTTACTTACGTACTCAATTCTAAAATCCTGTATTTTACCGGCAGACGTTAATATCAATCATGGAAAAATGTAACGAAAGTAGATGCAATTTAAGTTTAGTGAATTCAAGGCAATCTAGTCCTAAAAGGAAAATGCCTCGATCTTCGGGTCATCATTCTCATTTTTCTAAAAATTCAGACGTGGAAGTAGCAAATCCAACGTCAGACCCGGAACCAGCATGGCTAAACTTGAGTATGGATGCTGCTTTGGGTTGTAGAGCCAACGTATTTCAGGTTCAGTTAAAGAGATATGGGAAGAGAAGTCTGGATAATTATCTGGCTTACAGTGTTTCCATTCATCCTCAAGCAGCTCCTATTGTATTTAGGTATCCATGTGTATAAATTATTATTTATTTTTAAAAACAATTTTAACGCTTTCTATTTTTTACATATTATTTCTTTTTTAAATTTTGTTTTTTTTTTTTTTTTTTTAATTATAGAAATGCTATAGATTTACTCTATACCTTAACCAAAGTATTTCAAAATGAATTTTTGCCAAAAAAGCCAAAGGACACGGATAAAATAGAAGATTTAGCCGTAGTTAAAAAGCCTATTTGTACCGGGTTCTGGGATATTTTAGTTCGTTTGGAAAATCTCAATAGCGGAAAATCTTCGAAGAAAGGAAAAAGCGCGCTCAAGTACGACAAATTATTCAATAAATGAAATAATTTTTTTAATTTTTTCAATTTGAAATTTAACAATTGATGTTTTTTTGTTTATATTAGAAATCAAACGTCGACGCCATTTAACGAAGTTGAACCCAGGTCACCCTCTTTTGACAAATCACTCATGGGTCATTTGGTGACCATGTTGACTTATCCGTTAGTTAAAACGAGCACTCAACTCACCGATAAACTTCTTCATATCTTGAATTTAGTTTCCGAAGGATTCACGGAGGTAAAATTAGTTCAAAATAAAATTGAAGTTTTTAAAAAAAATGAAAAATCGTCACGCGCGAGTACATTTTATAAATTTTTACTTCAAGTTGGATGAAGAAGAAGCCGTACCCGTGACCGAAGAACATTTGAAAATTATTGTAAATGTTTTGACATCGAATGGCTGTTCGGAAAATGGATTGGAACAAGCTACTAGCCTTTTGATCAGAATGAGCAATTGTCCAGATCCTACACGCCTAACAAGTTTAAGGTTATTAATTTCCGGTGCGCAAGAAGTTGCAGCTTTAGTAAAACAACACATTGAAGCTCTTTTGAATGAATTGATCGAAGCCAACGCGAAAGCTAAATCGGATCTTGAATTAGAAGTGGAAATGAAGGAAAGTCACAGAAAGGGACAAATTCAAGACAGGTAAAAATCAATACATTTTTTAATAAAAGCCGCGAGTTTTTTACGCCATTTATTTATTTATTTTTTTTTTTAAATTTTTCATTTGTTTTATTAATATTTTTAGATTTACAAAAAAAAGCGTAGTAATAACGGCTCCTAGCAAAGTCAAAGGTGGTTTTGATATTCAGTTGCCTTCCATGCAACCTTTAATATCGAAAACGTCAAGTCAATCGTTTTTCCTAAGAATTTTGAAAGTAATCATTCAACTGAGAGAAGTTTTAGTTATAAGAAGAAAACTAGAAACTGGTAAATAATAAGAAAAAAATTTTTTTTTTTTTTTAAATATTGCTTTTTTAAATATAATTAAAAATTATTTTTATTTAATAGATCAACGTAAAGAAAACAAGGAAAAGAAAATAAATTCTGATAATCAATCGGCTTCTAACAATTTACCCGAACAAGGAGAAACTTCTGGTGGTCGAGTTGGTGCTATGAGTAGTGTGATGGAAACGGAAGAAAATCCCGTTCCTGCATACAATCCCAGTAAGTATTTTTGTAAGTTACCCGTAATGATATTTAAGTAGTCACGCGTTTTTAACCTAATTTATAATATTAAAATTTTTCCAGGCGAAAATAATGAAAACGGTTCTCGATCGGCTGCAAGTTCAATGAGCGTAGATCTTGAACTATTTGAAACGAGCGGTCAAAATGCCGAAGAAATCGGCGACAGAGAAGACTCCATAAATCAAACTATTATTGAAAATACCACCACTATTCAGCCTAGTGAACGAGACAACGATACGAAAATAAATAAGCCATCCGAATCCTACGGAACGATGGAAACTGACGCGGAAAAAGAATCGGAAGAAGCCAAAAGTAATTTTTTTTTTTTTTTTTTTTTTTTTTTTAATTTAGTAAAATTTTTGTAAAAAGTTTTAAAATTTTTATAAATTTTATTTTGCAGGTGAAAATAAAGAAAATGTATCTTTCCAAATACCATCGTTAACAAAACAATTACAATTGGATGACCTTTGGATTATTCTCAGCGAATGTTTGACGGAGTTGGAAAAAACTCCCGATCATCATGCGGCTCTCATACTTCAGGTTAGAATATATAAAAAATCAATTTTTAAATAAACAAAAAAAAAAAAAAAAAGAAAAAAGAAATTGTAAAAAAAAAAAAAAAAGGGAAAGATATGAAAAAAATAGTCTGACTAAAAAAACGGCCACTTATATGCGAATCAATAACAACAACAACAACAATACCACCACCACCAACAACAACCAAAACAACAAAAAAAAAAGTTAGATTCACGCATTTTTTCCCGTTTTTAGAGGTTTTGGGTTTATGTCGCTGTACAAATTTAATGTTGACAAGCCCCCCTCCCCCCCATATGATGAAAAAGGAAAAAAATGATTTTTTGCCTGTTCGAACTTTTGTCTCGGATATGTACGTGGGTTGTGGATGCTGGGATTTAAGTAACAAGAAGTGTTAACACAAGGAAAAAACACGAGAAGAAAAAAGAAAATTATATAATCTGGCATTTTTTTTTGGTGGGACTAATTTTTTCCTTTCGGCTTATTAACAAAATAATAATAATAATAATAATAATAATTATAAAGAAATATTTTTCCCTCTAAATTATTTAATTAAAAAGAAAATTTTTATTTTTATTTTTTTTTATAATTTGAAACTTGCAAGAAATCGAATTAAATTTTTTTTTTTTACTACGGGATAATATCCTATATATTGTACATTTGGGGGATTTAGGCTGAAAACGATGAAAAAAAATTTAATTTTTTTTTTTTTTTTTTCCAGCCTGCTGTCGAAGCATTCTTTTTGGTTCATTCTACGGCAATTAATGAAAATCGCACAGTTGCCAATGCTGGCATATCGGTCCCTGTTTTACCCAGGCGTAACAGAAGCAACGGTCCTCTGCCTTTGGCACCCATCCTTCCTGGAATTCACTTTGCCGTGAGCGACATATTAGAGATACCCGATCCGTCTCCGAATGCCATGGTATCCGTTTCTTCGTCGAATGCTCCATCCACCAGCATACAAGCATTGTCGCAAGGAAACTCTCAACAACCCATCACGAGTCAAAATAATTCTTTCAGTCACATAATTACGGAATATAGAAAATTCGTTCAGGTTGGAAAACGGAAAATTTTTCACGGATTCGAAAAAATTTTTTTTTATACTGAAACGATTAATTCGATTGTTTTAGTTGCTTGGAGTTGCCAACAGCGGCCCCCTTTCTGTTGATGTCGAAATCGAAAACGCTTCCGATTCGGGATCTTCATACATTCAACATTGTAGCAATTTGAACTCGACTTCGTTGGCGACATTTTTCAAACAATGTGAAAATTCGCCATTGTCGGATCCATTCAAGTTTTTGCGATTCGCAGGTAAGTATTATTATTATTATTAAAAATGCGAAAATCTTATAAAATGTCTTACTTAGCTTTCCCCTCGAATATTCATTACTTAATATTTATAAATTTGTATTTTTTTTTTCAGAACTTCATAGAGCTGTGTTAAACCAAATATTACGGCAATCCACGACTCATCTTCCGGATGGCCCGTTTGCCATTCTTGTTAATTTTACAAGAGTTTTGGACTTTGACGTTAAAAGAAAATATTTCCGTCAGGAATTGGAAAAAATGCACGACGGTTCGAGGAGAGGAGACGAAACGGCCGTTAACGTTAATCGTAGTCACGTTTTTGAAGAATCGTTTAGGGAACTTCATAGGAAATCCCCGGATGAATGGAAAAACAAATTTTACGTCGTTTTCGAACGTACGTTCATTTCTATAATTAATATAATAAAATTGCTTGAATGAATTCTTTGTTTAAATATATATATATTTACTATTTACAGACGAAGAAGGTCAAGATGCCGGAGGCCTCCTCAGAGAATGGTACATGATTATATCTCGAGAGATATTTAATCCTGATTACGCTTTGTTCACCGTTTCTCCTGGTGATAGAGTGACGTATACGATTAATCCGTCGTCTCATTGCAATCCAAATCATTTATTATATTTCAAATTCGTGGGGCGTCTCATAGGTAAAAATAAAAGAAATTTCGAATGATGAAAGGGGGCGGGGGGGGGTTCAAATGAAAATCGTTAATTGCAACAACAAAAAAAATTCTAATTTTTATTTTTTATTTTTATTAATTAGCGAAAGCCATTTACGACTCGAAATATTTAGAATGTTATTTCACTCGATCATTTTACAAACACATTCTCGGCATACCCGTCAAATACCAGGATATGGAAAGCGAGGATCCAGAATTTTACGAGGGACTCGTTTATTTGAAAAATCATAAAGTTTCCGAATTGGGAAACGATTTGACGTTCACGACGGACGTTCAAGAATTCGGTGTGACGGAATCGAGAGAATTGAAACCGAACGGTGCCAACATACCGGTCACGGACGAAAATAAAATGGATTACATTCATCTTGTTTGTCAAATGAAAATGACCGGAGCCATTCGCAAACAGTGAGATTTTATTATTTAAAATTCATTTCAAAAAAAAAAAAAAAAAATTTTTTTTTCTCTTTCGGTTCATGCGTCAATTTTTTTTTTTTTTTTTTTTTTTTAATAGGTTGGATGCTTTTCTCGAAGGATTTTATGAAATTATACCAAAACATTTAATATCGATATTTAACGAACAGGAATTGGAACTTCTTATATCTGGCCTACCAAACATTGACATTGACGATCTCAAAAACAACACGGAATATAATAAATATTCTAGAAATTCAATTCAGGTTTGTTAATGGATTTAAAAAAAAAAAAAAAGCGTGGGGGGGGATAAGAAATTTATGTAAATTGATGATGAATTGTTTTTTTTTTTTTTTTTTTTTTTTACACATTAGATCGTATGGTTCTGGAGAGCCTTACGTGAAATGGATAATCAGGATCAAGCCAAATTTTTACAATTTGTAACTGGAACGTCAAAAGTTCCTCTCCAAGGATTCGCTGCCCTGGAAGGAATGAATGGAATACAAAAATTTCAAATACACAGAGATGACAGGTCCACCGATAGGCTTCCTAGTGCTCACACGTGGTGAGTTTTATTTATTTTTTATTTATTTAAATACTACAAATTTAAATTTTTTTACAAATATTAATTCACCATGTTTATTTTTTTTTTTTTTTCCAGTTTTAATCAACTTGATCTTCCTGCTTACGAAACGTACACGAAATTAAAAAATAATCTTCTCAAAGCTATTCACGAATGTAGCGAAGGTTTCGGATTCGTTTAAAGAGGGAAAAGAAAAAAAGTGAACTAAGAATGGCGGAAAAAGGAAGAAATTATCGATTGATACGAAATGGAAAAGAAGAGAAGAGAAGAGAAGAGAGTGTCGTTTTATAGTATAGTAAATAAAGGAGGGGGAGGAGAGGGGAGGGGAATGGGGGAGGAGGAGGGAGGAAAGAGGAGAAAGAACGACGACGACGACGACAACAAAAAAAAAAAAAAATATATATTAATCATCATCATTAACAACAACCCCTTTTTCCTGGAAATTTCGGTTTTTTTTTTTTTTTTTTTAATAAAAGCAAGAGAAATAAATAAATAAAGACTGATAATTAGATAAATTGGTATAATAAGAAAATTTATGTACAATTAATAATTTGTTTTTTTTTTGTTTTTTTTTTTTATTATTTGCGGGATAACATGCAGTTGATTGTAACAAAAGGTGTTTTTTTTTTTTTTTTTTCGATCATAAACAAACAAACAAATGAATGAATGAATGAATGAATTATAAAATGCCTTTTATATTAGTTTAAAAAAAAAGTAAGAAATAATAATAATAATTATTTTTATTAATATTTAATTTATAGATTTCACATTTCTTTAATTAAATTACAAAAATGGAAAAAAAAAAAAAAAAAAAAGAATTTGTTTTTTCGTTGTATATTATTGTTTGCTTTGTGATTACTGCATACACACACACACACACACATACACACGCACACATTTTTGATTGTGAGTGCGTGTATCGCGTAAAACCGTTCGTTCTCTGTGCCTGGTTTTTTTTTTTTGTCATTTTTTTTTTTTTTTATTTTTTGTTAAAGCTAAACAATAAATAAATATAAATGTTTAAACAAAACGTCCAAATAGAGAAAATTTACAAATTAGGTTGATTATTATGAAAAAAACGTGAATAATAATAATATTAATAATAAGGAGGAGGAGAAGAAGGAGAAGGAGGAGGAAAAAACGTGGAATTTGTTTTTCTTTTTTTTTGTTTTTATCGATCGTGTCAGTAACAATAAATAAAAATCTATAATATTAAATGATGTAATAAAAATCCGATTAAAAAATAATTAAATAACGATAACATTAACGATGATGTAAAATGCTTTTTTCTCTCTCTCTTTCTCTCTTACACACACACACACACTCTTTCTCAAACTCTTTCTCACTCTTTCTCAAAATAACGATTGTTTGTTATATATGTGGGAATAAAATAAAAAAAAAAAAAAGGAGGAAGAGGAGGAGAAAGGAACATGTTGTGTAATTTTATGTCCAGGTACTCCTCAGGAGGGTTCGTTAAAAAAATTATATTAAATATAAATGGGGGGGGGAAGATGGGGGGAAACGTGGAAAACAAAAAGAAAATTTATATCAGACGAATAACACATGAAATGAAAATTTTAAAAAATCTATTAGATTTAAAGTGCTGTGTTTGTTTTTGTTTTTGCGTGTGATGCGTTTCATTTTATCATTATTATTATTATTATTATTATTATTATTATTATTATTTAAACAACAACAAATTATTACATGTAATTGAAATTGATTTTTTTAAAGAAAAAAAAGAAAAGCATTGAAATAAATAAATTACAGCACTTATTATTTACTACAATTATTATTAATAATGATAATAATAACTATATATATATATATAATATAATGAAAAAAAAAATGTTTTTAAATAATAATAATAATAATTTTTTTTTGTATAGGATTCAATCTGAAAAATAAATATATATATATTTGAAGGTTGTATGTAAAAAAAATTGAAAATGATAATAATAATAAAAAAAGAGAGAAAGAACATTAAAAAAAAAAAAAAAATTAAATTTTTCTCATTTGAATTATTAATTAATAAATAATTCCATCGTTTTAATAACAAACAAATTCAAATAAATAAATGATGATCAATTGTCAACGGTCGGTCACGAGGGAAATTAATTTATTTATTCCCTTTATTATTATTATTATTATTATTATTATTATTATTATAACTACTACTACCGCCATTACTAATGGATAATTTATTTAATAATTATCATCATTATCATCATCGACGTCGACGTCATTTATATATAAATAAATAAATAATGTTTTTATGTAATAAGTAATGTCCATCGAGTAACTTATAAATAATTATCATTATTAATCACGGAAATGGATTCGTTTTTGTGTGGGGGAGGGAGAAAGGGAGGAGAAATTAAAAGGGGGAGGAGGAAGAGGTAGAAAAAGAATAGTTTAATATAAATTTTTTCTATTTTTTTCCGTTCTTCTTCTTCTTCTTGGTTTACCGTACAAAAAATCATACCAAGTGATATCATTATTATTATTATTTTCTTTATCAATGCATTGATAACGTATCAATTTTTTTTATATGTAAACAATAACGAATAAATACACGTTTTTCCCTCTCTCCTCTCCTACCGCCTACCACCCGGCCCCCCCCCATCTTCTCCCACAGTGATGAGTTTATTATTTGCATTTTATTACATTTTTTTAAAATATTATTATTATTATTATTATTATGGACTCCTCTCAAAAAGGTTTTTAATGGATGGATAACTGAATGTTTTATTACATTTTAAAAAAAATTTTTTTTTTTTTTATCAATGTTTTAGTGCGTGAAGAGAATAACGACGTCAATAAAAATAAATCTATCAAAATAAATTTAGTTTTTCGAAAAAAAAAAAAAAAAAAAAAAAAAACGATTAAAATAAAAGCAGTTAATAAATAAATAAAAATTTTTTTTTTTTAGATTTTCTCATTGACTTAAAAAAGTAAAACCAGAACCATGAGATTTTTTATTTATTTATTTACTTTAAACCATTTTTTTTTTTGATTTTAATACTTTAATAACAATTAAAAAGAATAATTTTTTTACGTTATAATTCAAGGGGAAGCGGAGGAAGGAGTTTCGGTTAAAAAAAAAATGGCCGCCATGTTGTTAAAATCAAACAAAGATTTTTTTATATTTTTTCAAAACGAACCAAAAAGCAATTGTAATCGGATCGAATGGATAATAAAACAAATAATTATTATATTAATTGAATTTATTATCCAGTCGTCGTCCATGTTTTTTTTTTCTTTTTGTTATTCTGAACATTTCGTTTTGATTCTGAACAAACACACACATGTATAAAAAAGAAAAGCAAAGAAGAAAAAAAAATCTCGCGCAAATATCCAGGATTTCTGAACGTATCCAGCCAATACAAAAAATGAGCGCATGCGCACATCGAACGCAGATGTTGGTTGTATTGAAAATAAAATTTTATTTGTACAGTTGTTGAGATGATATTGTGGTGAGTGAGTGAAAGGAAATTTTGTTGTTTGTTTTTTTATAAAACTACAATTTGTTTGATTCAATAATAACAAAATTTTTATTGTTTTAATTAATTAATTAATTAATATGTGTACATTCGTTTTTATTATTAATTATTCTTTTTTTTTTGTAAATTAAAACGAAATCGTTTTTAAAATCGTTTCATTCGATAATCGGGGATACATTTTTATAATACAAAAAAAAAAAAAAAACGAATTTCTTTTTTTTTTCTTATTAAAATTAACATTTATTATTCGTATTCGGTTTTTTCTCGGTATATATATCCGCCGGAAACAGAAGAAAATAATAATAATAATTATTAAATATATTTACCAAATGAAGTTTATTCGTCGAATATATAACCGACGATATTATTACGTTCGGACGTATTAATGTAACAAGCATATATAATAAAAAAACACGAAAATGTTTTCATATTATTATTATTATTCAAACGGTTAAAT